CAGTCACAAGATACACCCACCAGCATCCTCCAAACAAGCACAAAAGCAACCAAAAACCCAACAATGAACATGATACACCAACCAGGAATATAAAACCAGCCATACAAAAAAAGTAAATAGATTATACACCAACCAGTCACAAAATGAACCAGGAAACACCATCGCGCACCAACAATGAATAGGAAATGTATAAAATTTCCTGGTTGCTAAACTCACTTAGAAAATTAGTGAAATGGGCTCAGAATCTAGTCAATATCATCATTGTTAGCCATCCAGTGCAATATCAATTGATATTGCAGGTTGCTAATCTCAGAAATTTTGACAATCATCATAGCCTAAAGTAAATAGTCACCAACGTGTTATTATAAGCAAGTGAAATAACATCATATGTAACAAAAATAACATCATGAAGAGATTGGTGAAATCCTCACAACCTGGCTCACAAACAGGATCCACAAAAAACAACAGTTAGAGAAAAAGGCATGGTAAACAGGCTCAGCTGCCATTTCATTTACTTTAACTATTTTTTAAATTTCTCAAAAATGAATGAGCTCATTACCCATGCAGTAACAGGTCCAATTTATCAAGCTCATCAACCATACAGTAACAGGTTCAGTTAATCAAGCTCATCACCCATGCAGTAACAAGTATGAAAATGAATCGAAATTAAAAGGGGAATAGGGGTTCTGCTTTGGTACCTGAAATTTCAACATTTCTGAGACCAATGTTTAGGCTATTTCTTCGCCAAATGAAGCAGGCACAAATTGCCGAAAGTAGGAGGAAAGTGATGGCAGCAGGAGATAATGGTTGTCAAAAGTAACTCATTGTCTAAATGAGCTTGCTTATCTTGTACTGTAATTTGCACAAATGAGTCCAAAATATCAAAGTAACTTTTAAGGCTAGAACGAAGGAACTAACTTGTGCATGAAAGGACTGCTTCAATAAAGTTGTCAGTTTCTCAAGAATTTCATAATTTTAATAAGGAAGAAATCCAAGAAAGGAAAGCAAAAGGGATCTCCATACCTATACAAAACAGAGAAATGCATCCTCCAAACAACCAGTATCCACAAAATCTGAACAGGCTCACAACCAGGCTCCACAATCAAGCTCACAACCAGCAATATAAAACCAAGCTCACAACCATTTCGAAAAAGCAAATTCGAAAAAGCATGCTCTATATTTAGTGATGCCACAATTGAATACTTGATAAACTAAATGTTGTGATGTTTACACAAGAGCATATTATTTAAGACTGTCAATTAAACTAAACAAATTTAAGACTGTCAATTACACAAGAGCATATTGTTTACAAAAAGACCATTTCTTCTAAGGTCATTAAACTAAACAAATTTAAGACTGTCAATTTGCAAATTTGAAGATCTAGTTTCCATTGTCTTCAATAGTTTCCATTGTCATTAAACTAATGTTTAGCATATCATGTAACATTTTGAATCTGCAGATCATCAGCTACAAGCATAGTCATATCTAGGACTTTAAAATCCTAAATAAGAAACTGGGTAAACTACTACATATATGTGAAGCATATAGGAAATAAAAAATAAAAAATAGTGAACCCATCAGTCATACATTTGATTTTATTGCTGAATACCATAGAGATCTGTGATATGTCATCAATATATTTAGGATCCTTCACAAGTTTTAGAATAAATCAAAGAAACATTTGATTTTATTGCCGAATACCATAGATCTATGCTATGTCATCAATATATTTAGGATCCTTTACAAGTTTCAGTATAAGTCAAAGAAACATCTGACACCTAATCAATGAGTATCAAACTATCTGAGTAGGTTATGCAACTGATACTGTTTAAGCCCATTTCATTAAACTACACATGAGAAAAAGATCACAGATTATTCACGGGATCCAAACTGTATTCTTTTTTCTATATCATCATCATCATCAGGCAATGTGTGTAAGTACAGAATTGATCAAAGTTTCTTACGTCTAAATCAAATACAGTTAGAGGAGATGGGAACTCAGATAAGAACTCTGATCAAAGTTTCTTACGTCTAAATCAAATACAGTTAGAGGAGATGGGAACTCAGATAAGAACTCAGATCTACATGAAGAGGAGGTGAGAACAAACCAGTTGATAATTAATCTAACTATTCAGATAGAAATATTCCAAGATACAAATCCAACTATTCAGATAGCATGCACATAAAACTAAAATCTCCAAAAAATAATCAACTACAACGTGGAAATCTGAACAGGCTCCCAAATATCAAATACCCCTCCTCCAATTTCTCACAAAATTGATCTAAATCAATCTAAAAATCCAAAAAATTAAAAAAAAAGGGATTTTTACCTTGATTTTGGAAGCAACAGAGTCGGAAAGATCAGATCTGAAACGCGTCGGCACAAAATCAGAACCCCCCTCCCCCAATTTCTTCGAATACAGGGGCAAAGATAGCGACGGGAGTTTCTGGCGGGAGGAGAGCAAAGGGGGTAACTATAGCGCAAGAAAGAAATCAACGACGAAACCAAAAATCCGACGTGGCGCTGGTTTTCGACGATTTCACTCCGATGGGGAGGGAAATGAGGGAGAGGAAAAAAGTCAAGGTGGCGGCGATTTCTGCTGTCGTTCCGCTATTTAGCCCTAGCGAAACAAAGCGGAGAAATGAAAAGTTGGGAAACTGCTCAGCCGACGTGGAGGGTTAAATAGAGGACGTGGAGGGGTTTTTTTAGTTTTCCACGCTTATATTAGCGAACCAAACACGCCCTAAACCAACACCCTCGTTCACAAAAAAACTAGCTTAGAGGGTGTTTTTTGGCCTAGGAAAAACAAGGTCAATCTTGGCCAAGTTTAGTTTTAGTTGAACACTTTTCTCCTCCACAAAAGAACTAGTTTGGAGTGCGTTTTCGAGCTTAGAAAAAAAAAAGGCAAATCTTGTTCCCGTTTAGTTTTAGCCAAATATTTTTTCCTCAAAAAAATGAGACTAGAATCACACCAGGCCAAACCTAATCCCACTGTAAAAGGAGTTGCTAAATAGGCCCTTAGATTTGAAGGAAGCAACTTGTAGTTGCTCTAATATTAAGATTCTAAATTTCTGGAACTCCGGGTAGAGCTATAAACATGTGGGAGAGAAGATTTAAGTAAAGCTTTGAAAAGGGCCTGATTCTGATAATAAATTAGTTGTTAATCTATTCTATTTTTTGGTAATAAATATGATCGTTTAAGAAAAAGCTTTGCTACAGTGAGGGACCAATAGGGGGGACAAGTGAGGTGTCCCCCTCCTATTATGATGGCCAATAGGAGGGGGACACCTCACTTGTCCCCCCTATTGGTCCCATATTTTGGGTCATTGAGAAATTTTTCTTTAAAAAATACCGATTTCAGGTAAAACAAGGCTCTACCTTCAGTGCTATACAACCTGGAGCTTAGTAACTAGTAAGGAATAAAGTCTATATAGAGCCCAATGCTAATACTAGACAAGAGGAAGTATAGTTTTTTATCAGAAGAATGGCATATAACATGATGATCAGTTTGAAAAGTTTAATTATTTTGTTGATTTGTAAAGGTTATTATCAATACTTCATTTTGCAACAACCATTTATGAGTACATGATGTAAAGGTATATACCACTCCAAAAGTCATGCTTCATCTCTACATCTGCATCGGAAGCTATTTTCCAGATGGAAATTAAACTTTTGTTTTGGAATAAATATGTCATCCAAATAAATCTTTCGGTGATGCTAAAAGCTGTCAACATGACTGCAATTTAAAAGATTTTCCACAATTAAAAAGTTTCAGGAAATTTTTTTTGTCTATCACATTTTAGAAAATAGAAATTAAGATTAATGATTTAAACCATTCAAAACTTGATCCATTTTATTAGCTATTACTCATCCTTTGCCGCAAAACTGCCTGATGTGCTTCTAAACCTTCTATTGATATTGATACAATGATACCATATAAAAGATTAATGAAAGTTTTTAACGGGTGTATTAATCATCATGTGAGAAAGAAATCTTGGAAAATTGAATGGTTAAAAGCTTAGTTTTTTTTACTCTGTAAATGTTACATAAAGGAAGAAACATTTTGTTGGCTATGTTGTTCATGAAAAGGCAATTTTGCCTTTGTGAATAGTCCTACATTGGAAAATAAGATGAATAGTAAGGGGTTTATATTGGTTCACCCCTTATTAGGTTTTGAATAGTGTTTTGGGTTTTGTGGGCTTTGCATAACACACACACGCATGCGCGCACGCATTCTTGTTACTTCTCCATATTTTATTTTTGCCCTCTTTGGCCTCTTCTATCCTCTCTTCCTCTGTTAATATTTTTGCAAAGTTTTACTTTTCTCTTTGGGCAACGTTCTTCATATGAGCTTAAGCTCTGCTACTCTCATCCGAGTATGAAGGCCGGCCGAGCCGGGGTTTTTTACCGCTAGGGTAGAGAAGATCGACTACGTCAGGGCTATAGGCGTGTCCTCAATCTTCTAGGACAGTGAAATCACGACTGCTCCCATTCATGCCTGATTTTCTGACCTTTTATTTTCGGATTTTATACTAATATTCCCTTCTTTGACGTCACTTTTAAGTTAAAATAATACAACAATGAACAACAATACACACCACATTTCTTATAGTCGAAAATCATGCTAGTG